GATCCACCTTACCTCCCTGTATCATATCAAGGGGCCATGAATCAGGATGAAGATTTGGAATTTTAATCCCAGTGCGTACCTTCATCTGCTCCCAGAACCTGCGAGCCCAATTGCAAGTGAATAGAGCATGGTATGTAGTTTCTTCAACACCACAGTCCTCACAGTAAGGTTTTTTCTCGATATGACGATGCTGCAGCACAACACGACACGGAATAAAATTGTGAATAACTCTCCACCAGAAACATCTTACTTTGGGAGGAACCTCCATTCGCCAAAGTATCTTAAACGCCTTACAGTATCCATTGTCCGAGCCTGACACCTGGGTCATCCTACCCTGTTCCTCAGTCAACAACTTATAAGCCGACCTCACAGAGAAAATGCCCATCTTATCAGGTTGCCATGCCCAGAAATCCTCTCCCGCATTGACTGGAATTCGCGGGATAGCTTCAGCATCAATCACAGTAAAATTAGTTCTCACACATTCCTCGTCCCATGTTCTGCTATCTACATCCAGTAGCTCATTGACTCTATTAACTGCAGCAAGAGGAAGCTTTACTAAGGTCTTGTAATTATAGTTGGCTGGGATCCACGGATCATCCCATATTTTAATTGATTCACCATCACCGACCCTCTTGATTAGGCCCAGCTCAAGAGCTTCTCTACCAAACAATATGGCGCGCCAAGTGTGTGAGGATCCCCTTCTTCTTGTAGCGGTCATGAAGTCTTTGCCGTTATAATACTTCCCTCTCAAAAGTCTTGCACATAGCGATTCGGAATTAGTCAATAGCCTCCATCCTTGTTTAGCTAACATGGCTTTATTAAATAACTGGAGGTCCCTAAAACCCATTCCACCAACACATTTGGGTACCGCTATATCCTGCCACTTTTTCCAATGCATCTTTCTTTTTACTCCGTCTCCTCCCCACCAATATTGCGCCACCACACTAATAATTTTTTTGCAGGGTTTCTTTGACAATTTGAAGCAACTCATTGAGTAAGTAGGTATTGCTTGGCAAATTGACTTGATCAAAACCTCCCTGGCTGCACTGTTCATAAGTTTTGGAGCCCAGCCAGTAACCAACTTCCTTATACTTGTAACAATATGGTCGAATTGATCCTCAAAAGATCTCCCAAGTGCCGTGGGTAATCCCAAGTACTTCTCAGCTAAAGCTTCTGTGTGAACATCCATTCTCTCATGAAAAATTGCCTTCTCTTCATCCGAGCTGTTGGCACTAAAGAAAATAGCCGATTTCTCCTTGTTTATCAGCTGGCCGGAACCTTCTCTATACAACTCCAAAATATCATGGAGCCTTTCTGCACCCTGAATCGTAGCCTGGGAGAAAATCATGCAATCATCTGCAAATAAGAGGTGCGAGATCCAAGGTGCATGGGTTCCCACTCTAATACCTTTAGCCAAATGAGCAGGCCCCTTGTACTTCAACATGCTACTCAGACCTTCGGCGCACAACAAGAATAGATAAGGTGACAAGGGATCCCCTTGTCGAATTCCCCTGAATGGCTTGAAAAATTCAGAAAAACGCCCATTCACCCGGACTGAAAAAGAGACAGTCTCCACACAAGCCATCACTCTCCCTATCCACTGTTCTGAGAACCCCATTTTCCTCATTACCTGTCGCAAATAAGACCACTCGACGCGGTCATAGGCTTTCGCCATGTCAAGTTTGACTGCACATGCATTTCCTTTACCTTTCTTCTTTTTCAAGTAATGGATATTCTCATAAGCGATCAAGACATTGTCTGTGATTAAGCGTCCCGGCACAAAGGCACTCTGTTCTTCAGCAATAGTCTCATCTAGAATAGGCCTGAGTCTAAGTGCCAAGACTTTGGATGCAATTTTGTATAAAACATTGCATAGCGAAATCGGTCTATACTGACTAAGCTCCTGGGGTGACTTGACTTTTGGAATAAGGACAAGTACGGTACTGTTAACCACATCAGGCATAACTCCTCCCTCCAAAAAATCCCGAACAGCTCTGCATATAGCTCGTTTCAAAATATTCCAATGACGGATATAAAAACCTGCAGTAAATCCGTCCGGCCCAGGTGATTTGTTCGGATGCATACTGAAGAGAGCTTGCTCAATCTCATCATCTGTGACCGGGGCACATAATCTCTCATTCATATATGTTGTTACTTTTGGAGGAATCCATTCCGTGACCACTTCCGGCCTAGAATCCGGCTGAGCTGTAAACATCGCTTTATAGAACTCATTGGCACTCTTCTCAATCTCCTCTTGAGACGTTTTGACCGTACCATCAACACACTTTAGTAATTTAATTTTGTTCCTTCTGAACCTCTCCTTCGCACGAGCGTGAAAAAAGGCAGTGTTCCTGTCACCATCCTTTAGCCAATCTACTCTAGACCGCTGCTTGGACATCATCTCCTCTCTTGACAGCAACTCTGAGATCCGCCGCATCAATTTCCTCTCCTCTCCTGTCGGACCTGTGTACAGAGTATTAGCACGCAGTTTTTCAAGACATTGTCGCATAATCTTTAGTTGACGTTTAACCGAGCCAAACTCATCCATACTCCACTTCTTCAATTTATTTCTTACTCCTCCCAACGCACCATGCACTGAGGCCATATCTGACGCACCATCAAGCCAACTCTCCTCTACTGTTCTGTCATATGTTTCATGTCTTGTCCAAGCATTCTCGAAACGGAAGGGTCTCTCCATAGCATTTGAATCAATCCACTCTGATTGTTTGATGACAATTGAAAGAGCACAGTGGTCTGATTCTGTTGTTTGGATATGCTGCACCCCTGTATTGTCAAACAGCTCCATAAATGTTTCATCCACCATCGCGCGGTCAAGTCTGACTTTGATATTATCCCTGCCCTGCTGCCTATTATCCCATGTAAAGGGGAGTCCAGAGTACCCCAAATCACATAGCTTGCATATCTCAACTGCATCCCGGAACCCATCCATCTTCCATTCCTCCCGTACATTACCACCAAATTGTTCAGAGGCATCCAATATCTCATTAAAGTCCACTGCAATTAACCATGGTATGTCATATTCCTTGCGAAGGAACTTCATGAGATCCCAGCTGAGCTTCCTACGAGATCGTACCAGTTGACCATAGAACCCCGTAAATCTCCACTCCCTCTCTCCCAGCAAGTTATTTTGTACAAACACATCAATATGTGACTGGCTGTATGAATTTAAAGAGACCGCCGAGTCATTATTCCATAAAAGGACCAAGCCACCACTCAGTCCTTCACTCTTCACACCAAAAGCATTACTAAATCCAAAACGGAACTTAAGATCTTGAGCTCTCTTATCAGACAATCTGGTCTCCGAGAGAAAGACCAGTGACGGGTGATGCAGTCTAATCAAACTGCATATCTCTTGAACTGTCTCGGGTCGCCCGCACCCCCGACAGTTCAAACTCAAGATATTCATTATGCCTGGTGGTCCTCCCCAAAGGAGGCCGCCGATCCTGCATAATTTGTAGCTCCACACATCTTCATCGTCCTTCTGGCGTTTACTTCCTGACGTCGAGCTAACCATATGTGATTGACCCCCTGTCGTCCATATGGAATAAAGGCTCCTGTCAGTGCTATACGATCAATATCCTCTGCTGTACTTCCATCATCCAAACCATCTTTTCCCATCGGCAGTCTCTTGGCTGATCTAGAGTTGACTAAGTTTAAGTCTTCACCATCTTCTTTGTGCCTCGCTACTGTTTCTTTTGAAAATTCCTTTCCCTCATATGCCCCCTTCCCAGCAGCAGTAATATCAATAGGCCGTGCCTTGCCATCTCTTTGAACATCAGCTTTAAACACTTCTCCCAGCCAATCATCCATATCTTCCCCAAAATTATCATACCTCATATCCATTGGCATGGATGAAATCATCGATGTGGATGTCACTTCACCAGGGTCGAAGATAAAAATAAGCATAGGATACCAACTGTGCCATCCAAATTCCCTTGCTTGTCTTCCATTTTGTTCACTGTCAATGTCCCTGGACAGCAGAGTATTATGCTGACAAATACTTATATCCTGAAACTCACCTCCCGTGCATCCTATGATCATCACCACCTTAGATTCCACCCTTAAATGAGGAATAGTCTTCACCAAACTCATAAAACTGCTACAAATTTTATCAATCACTTTGTCTTCAACAGAGAATTGCTGAATCTATTCAGCTGATACTTCTTGGTCGAAGACAGCCATCGATACAGGAGGCGCAGAGTACACATGAACAACAAAACCGCGGCCCTCCACAGATTGTTCCTTACCAACAACTTCCAGATCGCGGGAATGAAAGAAAGCTGCCGCTCGAGCCCTCATAACTTGTAAGCATCGCCCCGGGTCGCGCGAGCTGCGGACCAAATGCAACGCCCGCGTCCTTAGCTGATGTAGGACCATCGAATCCAATCCAAGGCTCCCAGGCACCATTCGTGTGGAACCAAGAAGGTCACTGGGTGTCCATGATGTTTGGTGCGGAGGTGTTTGCTTCACCACGACAGAGTACGTATAATGTAAGCTGACGTATATTACGTGTCCGTTGTGTGGTATGTAGTCACGTGGCCTATTGCATTGGGCTATGAACGATGATACCGATTCGCGTGCATGTTTTGATTCGCGTTCTTCCTTTGAGAGAGAGAGAGAGAGACAGTTGAGCGTACATGCACTGTATGTGTTTACGGTGTTCCATTCCAAAAGGAGACGTGGCCGTGCTCCCTCCCTCGCATGTTTGGTTTGGTTTGGTTTATTTATACATTGGCGGATCCCGATTTTGTTTCCCTGTTGGCCGTGACGGATCTGGTCGGCATGGGCAACTGAAACTTGATCGCCACGGAAGCACAGCGAAATCAATTCTCACCCGTCTCAAGCACGTGCGGCTTCATAGGGATCATTGTTGGGTTCGCATCACTACATATAGCCTAGCCCCAACAACCTCCCTTCCCCACCCCTCCCTCCCTCCCTTCCCTTCCCTAGTTCAGACTTCAGAGACCGCAGCCGTAAATATGGCGGAGCAAGACCGCAATGGGCGGGCGGCGGCGGCAGAGTCGTCGGTGCCGTTGCTGGAGAAGAAGGCGGACGGCGTGCTGTACGTGGAGGGCTGCCCCGGGTGCGCGGTGGACCGGCGGAAGGCGGCCAACCCGGGCATCCCCTACGGCACCTTCATCTACGTCTGGACCGTCACCCTCTGCACCGGTCAGTACACCACCACCCTTCATCCCCGATCTCCGTCCTGATTTGGTCATCAATCAACTGGTTGCGCAAATGCATCAACGCTTGGTTGACTGCTTGATTTGATTGATTTAATTCTGCGTGCGCGCTAGCTGGGCTGCATCCACGATTCAACACAAGCCAGTAATAAAAATAGGAAAAAGGACAGAGTTGCCTAGGGAAGAAAAAAAATAATCAGAACATAATGTGCTCTACTAATTTAGCAACCCAGCTAAGATGTACAGATAAATTACAGCTGATTAGCTCACTAGTTGACTGGAGTAGAGAGAATGTATCATACTTTAACCAGGTTGTCGCATGTACCAACAATTAACCGAATTGGAATGTTTTAACCAAGAGAAATCAGGGTGAAGCACCACGGCTGCTGGTTGAACCGATAAAAAATTGGGTCACCCCAGTACGAAATTGGGACCATGTAAACAAGATTCAGTTGGACTACTATATAATCATAGATGTCAATTCAAGTAGGTACACAACACCTAACAAGCCCATGGATCGAATTAAATGGCTAGCTGGCCAGGGCTTACACACCAAACAATTAATTAAAAAACATTTTTATATCATGGGACATTTTTACGCCATCTTTCCCCCTTGAAGGCAAGAGTAAAAAAGAGAGGGTGAAATGTAGTATCAGGGGCTGTATGCATGATTTGGTTGCATTAGTTGTTGAGGAGCATAATTTGATGGGGCAACTGGTCACCGTCATACTACGAGGGAGGGAGCAGTACCAATGATCTGTCTGTCCTGTGTGGAGAAAGGCGCAAGTAGACAAAACACGCACGCACTTGCACTGTCCCAATCACATGATCCCGTCCGACTAGCACAGTACTACTACACAAGATTTATTTTTCCGATTGATTGAATCCGCTGTTTCTGGACGACAACGTGCACGTCTTGGGCCACGAGATCCACGAGTTTTTCTTTTTCTTTTCTTTGGGGGAGTTGCTCGTTGTTTTTTTGAGGCTGGCAAGGGAGGGGAGGGAGTTCCACGAGTTGGATTTCTCATCCTCTCCGTCTCCGGTCTCTGTAGTAGTACCTCCAGTTTTTCTTTCTTCCAAATCCAAGCAACCCCTTTGCCTTAATAATTGTGCAACGGAAATTCTAGTCCCTCCACTTGTTGTCATCTCTGACGTCAGGGAGGGAGGGAGGGGACGCGAGGATGCGACACCGAAACGGACCTGCCTGCCTGCTTGGACCGGGGCGCCTCACTTCCCCTTCCTTCCTTCCTTCCTTGGCTTTCTTTTCTTTCTCTATATCTATTCGCGCTCGCGCGTGTGGCAAGCAAATTAAAGCCGGAATGCCATTGCCACGCCACGGACGGCACCCGCTGCGTGCCCGATTTCGCTTTGCCGTTTCTCCATTCGGTCGGGTCTCCCCCAGCCGGGGAAAGGCGGCGGCGGCATTGCGCTGATTGGCCTCGCTTCCCAATCCCAGCTCCTTTTATCTATCTATCTATTCTGAGGTGAGGGGTGGGGAGGAGGGGATTGGCTGCCTGCAAGCAATGGCGGCCAATGAGGAGGAGGAGGGGACTTCGCCGCTGCTGATCAAGGCGGAGCGCCGGCACCACCCGGGCTGCCCGGGCTGCGACCACGACCGGAGGAAGGAGCTCCGCACCGGGCTACCTTACAAGGAATTCTCCTACGTCTGGATGATCTGTCTTACCACCGGTACGCCCGCCCTCCTTTGGGCCCCTCAAACCTCATCCCCCAAGCCAGATTCTTCTTCTGTAATAAACAAACAAAAATGAAATCAGCGGAATTTTCTTCTTCGATGAGGTCACTGTTGTGCAGTACCAGGAGGCAGGAGCATTTAATCGGTCCTATCGTTTTTTTTGGTCACTCCCGCATATCGCACCGACTGCTACCCATGTCCCAGGCCTTCCAGATCATTGCTATGCTATCGGGTGGCACTTCACACACAAGACTTTTAACGATCATGTCCTACCTGTTCCCCACATGTCCACATCCGTAATCATGAATAGAGCCGTATGAGGAGGGATGAATTTTTGTTGAACTACTACTAGCCATCTAACTAGCGAATATTATCTTGAAAAAAAAAGTAAGCACGACATGGTTGAAGTCTAGGGAGTACTTATATTTCAAATGAAGCTACTACTTCATTTTTTTTCTTAATTGGAATTGAAAATGGCTCTATAAATATTGGTTATCTTCTGTCCTTCAAACTTAATCTCCCAAGATAAATTCTAAGACAACGGGGTTTGCTGAAGTCACACAAGTCTGTAAGAATTTTGTTCCTCAAAAAGGTCTGCACCGTGAACATGAATTTGTGCCTGCTCCTATGCATCATACTGTCATAGCAGCAGCAGTCTGAATTCAACCGCTTCAACTCAAAATAAGTCTACCTAGCTCACTTGGTTGGGGAAGTGGATGTATAATACCACCACCTAGGTTCAAGTCCTTGTGGACACGCGTTTTGTTTCCTATTTGTGCTGCTGGAGCCTCCCTAAAACCACCTGAACTTATGGGCTAATTTATTTGTGGTGCAAATTTTGTTGTTCGATTACAAAAGCACCCAACCTCATGGGCTAGTTGTTTCACTGCTTGTGTTTTTCATTACTAGCATTTCGTGCTACCCTTTTTTTTTTGCAAATGAAAAGCTTTCACTAATTAAGTGGGATCATTACAGCCAGCCTTACATAAAATGTCTATCTCTCCCGGAGTACTACGCAGCCAGACTGCTGTTCGCTGCCCCGCCTGCCCCATGTGAGCTAGAGCATGGGCTACCTGAACTCATGTTCTGAAAGTGAATAGATTTTTGTATGAAGCTGGACTATGTAGATTCAGTTTACGTGAGTATTTATTTGTGAAAATTTGCATCACTAAATTTCCTGGGTCAAACAATCATTGTTTACGTAACCTGAGATTACCCATGTTTTTTAGATCACTGTAATTGAGCAGCAGTTCAGGCATAATCTTTTTTTAGTACTCCTGCTCTTGCCTATGTGAGTTTGTTCTTGAGAAGGTTTGGAGAAATTTAATTGAGTAATATGAAATGTCTATGAAGTGGCTCCAAGTTACCATTGTAACCCAATAAATATTTACATCAGCACTTCTGGATCTACAAAATTATCAAAACATGAACGAAGATTGTTATTAATGTTGCCATGTACCCCGTATTGTTGCAAAATTGTTCTTTTTTCATGAACATTTTCCATTTCATAATGAAATTGTTCTAACATTTCATCTGATCTTTCCGTCCAGCTTTACCAATATCGTCACTGTTCCCCTTCTTGTATTTCATGGTATGTATATCGGTTTCTCTTTTTTTCTAATTATTCAGGACGTGTAGTTAGATACTTATATGAACAAAATATATATGTTTTTTTAATATTCCAATCTTCGTCAGTTATCTGTTCATATCTGTGCATACGTCTATCTCTGAAGTATCTGTTGGTAATAAGTCTAAATATTATCTCCCTCTCTTTACAGATAAGAGACTTGCATGTTGCAAAAAGAACAGAAGATATTGGGTTCTATGCTGGGTTTGTAGGTGAGTTTCTTATTAAATTTTGATTTGAAACTGAGATGGTTGAGTACTTTGAGTTTGATGCTTATACCAATGGTGAACACTTTGTGATTGTCTGATGTGATTTTTTTTCTGTATTTACTGGATTTTTTAGGTGCTTCTTTTATGTTTGGTAGATGTTTGACTTCAACTCTTTGGGGAATAGCAGCAGATCGTATTGGGAGGAAGCCTGTTGTTGTGTTTGGCATTCTCTCTGTGTTAGTAACAATTTGCCTCTTCTTTACATAACACCCATGCATATTAGAGTGTGGCTGTACTTACTACTGTATTTCAACCTCTTCTATTTTGTCAGGTGACTCAACTTAACTCACGTTAATTTCACAGGGTGATATTTAATACTTTGTTTGGGCTTAGCGTCACCTATTGGATGGCAATAGCTACAAGGTTTCTCCTTGGCGCTTTAAATGGCTTACTTGGACCAATGAAGGTATGGCGAACTTAAAAGCTTATTTTTGTTAGATTGTGTATACCTGATGAATTTGTCCCTGACTTTTGCAGGCTTATGCTATTGAAGTTTGCCGACCTGAACATGAACCTCTAGCACTATCACTTGTAAGATAAAACACGCCTACCGATACACTATTAATTTCTCCTATTTAAGTGATTTTAATTTTTACATCACTTTCATGTGATTTTAGGTCAGCACGGCATGGGGAATAGGTCTCATCATTGGTCCTGCTCTTGGAGGCTACCTTGCACTGGTATGAAAGAGATTTCTCTTAACAACTTTATGCTAGTCGGCCTATGCTAACCTTGTTCCTTCTATGGCAGCCTGCAGAGAAATACCCAAATATATTTTCACCTGACTCATTATTTGGAAGGTATGTGTATCCAAATAGAGTATCCTAGATAACTATTACATAATACTTAACTTTGATGGAAACTTGCCAGGTTCCCGTACTTCTTACCATGCTTGTGCACATCAGTCTTTGCTGCCATTGTTCTGATAAGCTGCATATGGATGCCGGTATGTGATATTTCAATGGTGTTAGCTTCCTTGATTATGCAGCCAGTCTAATTGCCAGTTCATAATTACATTTTTCTGCCTATATTTTGCTATTTTGTGTGTCCTGTTGGGAACCATATGACGTTGGCATGAACAGAGGCTTCCTAGATCCATAAATATGCCTGGCTGGACCTTAGCACTTCACAACTTTTCTGTGGAATCTTAGAACCAAACATTCCACTTCAGACATACTGTTCAAAGTTCATGTATAATTGATCTTAAAATTAGATAGCTCAAGTATACTGTTCAGAGTTAAATAAACACATGCTTTGGAAGTTTGGATACAGTTTTTTTTTGCACAGCAGAAAATGCCTTTTTTACTTTATTATCTTCCAACTGGCGGCATGAGTAAAAAGAATTAAAATTAAATAGTGGGAAAACGAATTGTGTTTAAATTATTCTGTCCTCGTTGATCGAACGTTTATATTTTTGTTGGAAGAGTTAGTTCTTCCTCCTTCTATTATTAAATATCTCTAAATGCATCTCAGGAGACGTTACACAAGCATAAAGTCAGTGATGATGGAAATCAAAGTGTTGAAGCTTTGGAGGCCCATCTGATTGATCCAAAAGAGGAGGTTGGACAAAGTAATAGTTCGAATACCAAGAAGAGCTTATTCAAGAATTGGCCATTGATGTCATCTATAATTGTTTATTGCGTCTTCTCCTTCCACGATATGGCTTATACAGAGGTATTAATTTTCTATTTGTAGTTACGGCGTTAAGTATTCCAGAAAAAAAGGATGGCTAATTGTACCTAAATACTCTTGCGACGAATGGCAAAAATACTAGTTATTAGTGGTAGGAATAGTGAACCCGCTTATTCATAGATCAGAATAGACCTGTTGATCTGGGAAGGTGCTCGCTATGGTATACCCGATGTATGGGCAGTTTCTAGAACTGTGAATATCAATTTTTAGCACTTGCCTAAGCTCTAGAACCATTTTGTTTGACATAAAAAGTAATTTGTCGCGCAAAAAAAGATTTTACTCCCTCTGTCCCATAATATAAGAACATTTTTGACACTACACCTAGTGCCAAAAACGTTCTTATATTGTGGGACGGAGGGAGTAGAATCAAGAGTTCTGCTTAGAGTAGAGAATATTTGATACTAGTAATGGTGATCTGGATCAGGAGGTCAGCTTAGACTAGAGAAGGATAACTGGTAAAGGCGACCACTAGAGCAAACTTTGTGGAGAGTTGCTCCAATTCACAAATTGGCTCTACTTGCTGTGCTAACATATGACTTATATTTGTCGTATTTATCATATATTTGGTGACAGACAAGTTTCTATGGATTTCTAGTAGCTAATACAATACATGTTTCCCCGCAAAAAAAAATACAATACATGTTTAACATAAACTTTAACTTGTTTTTTTAATAAACTTCAGGTGTTCTCTCTATGGGCTGAAAGTGACAGGAAGTATGGTGGACTGAGTTTATCATCTGAAGATGTAGGTCAAACACTTGCAATTACAGGTACCTTTCTGCATGTGCTTTTGTCAGTGTTACTTTTTTTGGAACCGGGGGGGGGGGGCACAAAATGATCAGGAACTGACAAATTGTAGACTCGAAAACCCAAGTTTGAATATGGTAGAACCCAGGGTCCTACTGGTCCTGCTCCTTAGGTTGTAGGGGAAGATCGGGGGCTGAGAGGGGCGAGGGCGCGGCGGCTGGCACATAGGCACCGTCGCTATGAGGAGGGAGGGAGGCGGCGGCTGAGAGAGGAAGGCGGCTAGGGTTAGGGTCCGGCTCCTCTGGGAGCCAGTCAATAGAATTCTTCTTATTGCTTAATTCTCAAAATAGTCTTACAGCTAGTATATAACCATGATGCTAGAAAATAAGATAATTTGTGGGCCAAGCCCCTAACTAAACCTGCCCGGTGGGCCTCCTACGGGCATAAGTCTGCCCGGTCATAACATCTCTCCCCGCCTGCGCAAACAGCTCGTCCTCGAGCTGAAACTCTGGATAGTGTTGGCGGAACTCCTCGCGCTGCTCCCAAGTGGCGTCCTCCGCCGGAAGTCCAGCCCACTGAATCAGCACGTACCACACTCCTCGACGTAGCTGGGCCTGCAAGACCTTCTCCGGTCCAGGAAGAAGACGCCCATCGGCGGTCGGAGGAAGCGCGGGAGGAGCCGCGGGTGGCTCTCCCTGGAAGGGCTTGAGCAGCCCCACATGGAAGACGTCGTGGATGCGAGCACCCGCCGGAAGCTGAAGGCGGTAAGCCACCTTCACAATGCGCTCCAGGACAGCAAAGGGCCCGGCATAGCGAGGACCCAGCTTCTTCTTCGCGCGTGGGTCTAGTGACTGCGTAGAGCGGTGAAGAAGACGCAACCACACCCAATCGCCCGCCGCGAACTCCGCCTCTCGATGATGACCGTCGTAGTAGTGCTTGGCCAACCGTTGGCCCTGAAGGAGGCGTTGCCGGACCTCCGCTAGCATCTCGTTCTCGTCGCGGCTCCGCAGAAGGTCCTCGGCCGCCTCGGTCTGAGCCGTGGTCGGATCAACCGGAAGAATCGCCAGAGGCGGGCGGTCGTAGACCACCTCGAAAGGCGTGGCGCGTAGGGCGGAGTGATAGGAGGTGTTGTAGCAGTACTCCGCCCACGAGAGCCAGTCCACCCATGCACGAGGACTATCACCTGTGACACAACGCAAATACATGGCAATCACCTTGTTGACGACCTCGGACTGGCCATCCGTCTGGGGGTGGAAGGCCGTGCTTAGGCGTAGCTTCACGCCTGCCATCCGGAAGAGGTCGCGCCACACATGCCCCGTGAACACGGGGTCCCGATCGCTGACGATCGAAGAGGGAAACCCGTGGAGGCGGACGATCCCGTCGAAGAAGGCCCGGGCCACGGACGCCGCCGTGTAGGGATAACCGAGCGCGATGAAGTGAGCATACTTGGAGAAGCGGTCGACCACCGTGAGAATGACCGATTTGCCGCCCACCTTGGGGAGGCCCTCGATGAAGTCCATGGAGATATCCGCCCAGACCTGAGACGGCACCTCCAAGGGCTGGAGCAGACCAGCCGGCCGTAGCGTCTACCGGTCCTGCTCCTTAGGTTGTAGGGGAAGATCGGGGGGCTGAGAGGGGCGAGGGCGCGGCGGCCGGCGCACAGGCGCCGTCGCGACGAGGAGGGAGGGAGGCGGCGGCTGAGAGAGGAAGGCGGCTAGGGTTAGGGTCCGGCTCCACTGGGAGCCTGGCAATAGAATTCTTCTTATTGCTTAATTCTCAAAATAGTCTTACAGCTAGTATATATAAACCACGATGCTAGAAAATAAGATAACTTGTGGGCCAAGCCCCTAACTAAACCTGCCCGGTGGGCCTCCTACGGGCATAAGTCTGCCCGGTCATAACAGAATACCCCTAATCCTGTGTGTCCAAATATCCCAACAGCTCAAGTAGCGGCCAGATTTTCTAGGCAGGCAGGCAGTATTCCGGACTTTTGATGTTGGCTCCCTTTGTGAAGCACATATCATGTGTTGATTAACTTGAGCTGTTTGGGATTTGTAGACTTGAAAACAATTGTTAGCCATAGCCAACATACCCCAGAAGCTGAATAAACTCTGCCAATTATGTCCTTAATCCACTTCCATTGTTTGCAGTTCTTTCTTACTTTGTACACTAGTATTTGTGATAACAACAGACAGTATTCTACCTTCTCAATTTCAGGTGCCAGTCTTCTTGTGTATCAACTATTTATGTACCCATCCATCATTAAAGTTCTTGGACCTATCAAATCTTCTCAGATCGCAGCTGTGGGTGAAAGCTGCTATCCTCTTGTTTAATTGCTGAAGTCATTCCCTTCTGGCTGCATGTCTGAACTATTGTGATTGACCTTGCAGGTTCTGTGCATACCTATTCTCTTTGCCTACCCCTATATGACGTACCTGTCAGGACCTGGATTATCGATCGTACTGAATATTGCATCAGTCATAAAAAATAATCTTGGTGTAAGTTTTCTTTTATCCCATTTTAGAATCCTTGTTACCTAGTTTGAAGATTGACCTAGTACATAAATCATGGATGAAAACTATGCTGCTTTTTAAAATCAGCAGTAGTGTTTTGCTGCCACTTAGGAGTTATAGTTTCCTCTCTTTTTTGCATAAACTGGATCTTTGATACTACCTGTCTGTTGCAGTAACTAAAGTTCAAAAAAAATTAAGTTAATCTTATGTGTTCTCCATGACTATTTTATCAGGTTACCATCATCACAGGCACTTTCATCCTTCAAAACAATGCCGTGGTATGTAACACATAAGTCCATCTCAATGTTAATGTGTTTTATGACAGATCTCGACTGACTGATGAACATGTAATGTACTAACAGCCTCAGAACCAAAGAGGAGCAGCAAATGGATTAGCCATGACTGGAATGTCCTTTTTCAAGGCAGTTGCCCCTGCAGGTGCCGGCATTGTGTAAGTATATAGTCCGATCCTCGTAGCTTCTTAAAAAATATTTCATGTGTTACAAAGTAAAAATAACTTTAATAGCTCACACAGCTACTTTGGCAACTACAGTATATCTAAATGAAATGCTCTTGAAGCTCAGAAGTTGACACGATTTTTCACAAATGCAGGTTCTCGTGGGCGCAGAAACGCCAGCATGCTTTCTTCTTTCCAGGTAAACTTTGCAATCCTTTTTTGAGGAAATTCCATATTTTATGTCCCGGTTCAGCTAGTTGAGACATCTTGTGAGGTTCTTACTGCTGTATAATTGCTCTCCACATTCCACTGATACAGGTGATCAGATGGTGTTCTTTCTACTGAACATCATCGAGCTCCTTGGACTTGTCCTCACATTCAGACCCTTCCTGGCCGTGCCAGAGCAGTATGAAAGAAATTAGTCTTTATTATTATAGAATTTTGTGGATTGTTAATGAGACGATGACGACTCATGCGGCCCCGCAGCTGCGAGGAGCTCAAGGGCGCCCTTGCACCAGGATAAGAGGTGATTACCTGTACTTGTGTGTAACATCTATGTTGTAGCAGCATCTCAGAGTGGAAGGTGGTGCATATATACATGTTTGTCTGGTATATAGATGGTGGTGGCCAGTTAAGTTGGTTGTTTGCCATTAGTTAGGTAGCAACATTTGTAAAACTACTGTACAATGCAAGAGACTGTACTAGCTGGGAAGAAATAATCTGGTGGAAATTTAGTGGCATCGGCATAGTTATTGTCCTGTCTTTGCGGTAGGCATGCAAATTTGAAATCTTGTGGGTACCGTCCGACCCTCTTTAGTTCAACTAAATGAACTAAATTTTCAGAACTATTGACTGTATCCTGAGATAATGTGGATAAACACTGCACTTCAAGAATATGATAGTGTGAATACTTTGATTACTCCCTCTCTCTCAGTTTACAGGGCGTGCGCGTATCCCTAGGTCGTCTATTTGACCAACCTAATACAAGTCATATATTACAAAAAATATATCAATATAAAATTCAGATGTTCTATTTTCAAACCGTATAATTTTTGTGTTATATAGTTTATATTAGGGTGATAAAATTGACAACCTAGGTATACACGCAGGACTTGTAAACTGAGACGGAGGAAGTAGATTTATTTATGGTACACGACACTATTTATATGAGTGGATGAAATGACGACAAGTAATAAACAAATTAAAAGATGTCCATGTGGACGGCTTTTGTATAGTGGTGGGTTCAACAGCTGGATGAAGCAATATACGTACCATATTATATTGCTCCATCGCGGTTCGGAGTGAAACTTTATGTCCACGGGGTTGGCCATAAATATGTACGAAGTTTAGGCTATGTCTGGCAATCCTTTGCTCCTCATGGAGCGGAGCGCACGGCTCCTCAAATTTATACTGTATGCCGCTCTGTTCCGCAGGGGAGTTACGAAGTGGAGGGATTCCGAACGCGGCCTTAGTTTATTGATGAAGTCTGAAGCCTCAGATCTGGCTAAGTAGATAGGTAGGATTTTAGTTCTCGCAGAGGCGATGTTTGAAGGGATGGCGGTGCTTCTTCTTCGAGTCAGTTTTCCGGACTTCGATCCTCCTCAAGTTCGTCCGTTGGGATGGATTAGACTAAGCTCCGGCATAGATTTCTGCCAGCTCCTCGAGGTGGCAAGGTTAGGGTTGCTCGTCGTGCGTACGCAACTGCGATATTTGATGTCAGATTCTTTAGATCTATTCAAGAATTCAACGGCGATGATCGCGGCTCTAGTGTGCTGGTCCTTAGGGGCACGTGCACGAAGACTTTCAGGTTTTCATCTACAAGGTCAAGCCGGCTCCGGTATGAGAGCGGCGACTGGCAGTGGCAATGGTCGCTCGGTGGTCCATGGATCTTGATGTAATTTTTATTATGTTTGAGGTGTTTTGTACTTCGAGTGAATTTTATAATAGATCTGATTTTTCGCAAAAAAAGAAGTCTGAAGCTTACGCACATATTGCCCGTCAGCTTTTTTATTTTTTGAAAAGAAAAATAACCCCCGGCCTCTGCACTAAAATGATGCATGCAACCATTTATTTAACGAAAGTATGAATACAAAATCTGAGATCTAGCATTGGCTTACAAAAGTAGCCAAAGCAAAGTAAATAGAATAGAAAATGCCACATCCGCTGAAAAATAGGCTACGATGACTAAACACCTAGTTTATTATTAGTTCGCCATCCAAATCAGTTAAAGATAACCCGTGCTACCTTCTTCCAGCGGTTGCACCCAGTAATCAAAAGCAACCTGAAGCCCGCATGAGTGAGTAACGACCACATACGGATCCACGCGGTAGCTCTGTATATAACTTGCAAAAAGTTGATAATTTTTTTTTCTGTTAAAGATCATATCATTTATGCAGTTTCATATAGTCCAAAATAGTGCGCATATCCCTATCCGAATATGTCTCGCAATATTTGGTTCCACTCTGTTTAGCCACGTCCCAAATAACGTGTTGATGCTAGTCGAAGGACTAACATTGAAGGCTATATGAATCGTACGTCAAAGCAGTTTGGCAAGCAGACAATCGAGAAAGAGATGTTGTATATTTTTGTCCTGATCGCAAAAGCAACATCGCGAACTACCCACCCATCTTGGCTTTAACAAGTTATTAGTCAAAAACACTTCCTTGTAAACAAATCACATGAAATTTTAATTCTAAGCGGAACTATAATTTTCTAGATATAAAGTGATCTCGAGATTGGCCCAGAGTCAATTAGATCCAAGTACATAGATTTCACCATGAAACAACTGATCATAGATAATTTCCAGTGAATGGCATCTGGTTGATCTGAAAGTTGAACATCCATCGCACCCCACCAAACACCTCCTGAATTGGATATTACGAGGGATCATTTATAATACTGTAGCGACATAATCTTTCTTACGTCTGTAATATTAGCCGCTAGCTACCTGTACGTGGTGATTATTAATGAAACAAAGCGCAGGCACGTCAGCCATGCCATCCAACTAAGCTAGCAGGGTTGGCACTGCATGCATACGCATCAGGCAATGAAACTCTAGTCTAGATTCGTCCATTATAAGCATGCATGGTAAGCTAGCTAGCTACACTTGGAGGCCTGCTCCGGTGCTTCCCCTAACCTAATTTCGGAGGGGTATTTTTGTCCCCGTGAATTTGTTTTTTTTCTGGCCCGCCGCAGCCCAGATCCAAGCCCTGTCTAGCCCTGTATAATCCAGACTGTATACGTACAGTACACTGGTCCGAAAAAAAAACATCACACGACCCCACGTCCACGTAAGACCTGCCGAATCCAATCATTCACGCGAGCAGCTCCATCAATCTCGCGAGCATTGACGCAGCTCCATAAGTCACGTATTAGATCTCCACCGGCCATCGGCTATCTCGTCGCCGGCGATCTCGTCGGACAGCGGGCGCGACAACGTCGTGAATCTCCAACGATCGCGCACAGGTACCGCATCCCGCGTCCCCCCTCTAGTCTCGCTCGCGGCAACATCGAACGAACTGCCGCCGCACCAGTGGCAGTGGTTAACCTAGCGGAGCGGGTAACCTAGCTACCCGGCGGCGCATGCGATCGTGGATCTTGTTCCGGTAGTGCTGCTCCTCGTGATCTGGGTTCACGTAGCGTCGGTTGCCGTCGGTTGTGTGCACCATGTGGATCGTTAATTGATGTGGCGGCTAACCTAGGTATCCGGCGGCAGAGGTAATCACAGATCTAGCTAGGTTTTGAGATCGTGCAGTTCCTCGCGATTGAAAGTGATCTCGACGGGTGTCGTGGCCATCTTCCTTACTAAGTTTGGCAGATCTGAACGGCCTCGGTTGTGGTTGTTTACATAACATTCGTGATCATGTGCTATGTGTTTTATATTTCATCATTGATAATGTTTGCACATGTGATGATACATATTATTGGTTGTAGGAAATGGCAGACGAGGAGTTAACTGATATCATGGTAGACATGGAGTTTGGAGAACTGATGAAAGACTGGATAGAAGATTGGTCAGATGATGAAAATTCCGATCGTCAAGATCGGTCAGAGAATGGGAACGAATGGGACGATCTTAATGTGCGTGGCATTGTCATGTTGTAATTTTTTGGTGGCATCTGACAACATTTAATCTTTGTGTTGAAAATTTATAGATGGATGAGCTTGATGATGATCAGGAAAACAACTCGGAGCTCTCGAATGAAGATTACATTAGTCAGGTACGTAAGTGAAACGTTTTGTTGGCATGCAAATTGAATTTCTTCTGGAACATTATATGATAAGTAATTATGTATTTGTGTTGTATTTTTCAGTTCATTTCCGAATGTCATAATGCATACGACTATTACGGTGAATCCGACGTGGAGACAGACCTTAACGACGAATCATTAGATGCACCTGGTTCTGGGGAGTCCGAGTCGTCGGTCATCATGAGTGAGGTATGTGTGTAATCAATGTTCTATGGATGTAAGTAATGTTAACCATACAAAACAGTTTTCATGGCTATGTTTTGATTGTGTAGGTGACAGAAGATGGTGGGGTAATGAATGTCCAAGATACTGCCAGTGCAGATGATAAGAGGGATATGTTCATGCAGATAATGGACATGACTTTTATGACTCACGATGCTGCGTATGATTTCTACAACAGCTATGCTAGAGCTAATGGTTTCAGCATTAGGAAGAATAAGGTCAGGTATACCAAAACCGAGGCACATCTTATGCGTTATAGGAAGTTTGTTTGTTCCAGACAAGGGAAACGTGACAGCAAGTTGCTAACCGAGAAAGGGCACAGCCATCGGCTCAGAGCCGAGACACGCTGCTTTTGCGAAGCACACCTGACTGTCAAGCTTGACCAAAAGCGTGGAATTTGGTATGTTGCAAGTTTTGAGGACAAGCATAGCCATATATTGGCAGGACCGGACGAGGTACCTTTTCTTTGGTCCCACAGAAAAATCAAAGAGTTTCAGAAGCATGGATAATGTCCATGGGAGCTGCAGGGATTAGAATTCACGACATGATGGATTGCCTCATCAGCAAACATGTATGGTATGGCGGTGTTGGTTTTACCAGGCGTGAAATATACAACCTTTGTGCCAGGGAGAAGAGGAAGCTGCTTTCAAAAGGTGATGCTGCCACAACCATAGGCATCATGGCCAGTAGGAAACAAAGGGATCCTAGCTTCTTTTTCGAGTACATGCTAGATAAGGAAGGACACTTGAATAGGATGTTCTGGTGTGACTCCCAGTCTCATCATGACTATGAGGACTTTGGCGACGTTCTTGTATTTGACAGCACGTACAAGATGAACCGCTATGGTATGCCATTCATACCTTTTGTTGATCTTAACAATCATCGGAAGACCACTGTTTTTGGTTGTGCCATAGTTTTGGACGAGACCGAACAGACATACGTGTGGCTGC